TTTGACGAAATAGATAAAGAGAGTGAAGTGTCAGACTCAAAAGTCATTGATGAAAATAAAGTTGATTCTGAAAACGATGAAGTTAATTCTGATGAAGATTTAGGTTTACAAATTCATAATAAAGAACAAAAAATTAATGATGAGATACATTTAAATGAGATTATAGGGCCATTAATTGCAAAAATTAGGAAAGTAGTAAGAATATTCCGACAATCTCCGACTGAAATGACGATTTTCTACAAAAGCATGTCAAAGCTGAACTAGGCAAAGAATTAAAGCTAATTTTAGATTGTAAAACTAGATGGAATAGTCTTCTACTCATGTTAGAGCGGTTTTATCAATTAAAAAGTTGCGTACAAAAAGCTTTAATTGATGCTAAAATTGAAATCTCTTTTATAAAAAAAGAATTAGACATGGTTTCTTCTATTGTAGTGACTTTGGCCCCTGTCAAACTTGCTGTCGAAATATTGTGTTCTCGAGAAACTGATTTGTATCAAGCAGATATCATGTTGGAGTTTATGCTTGATGAGTTATCTAAGCAAAAAAGTTTTCTTAGCAAAAAACTTAAAACAGCTTTATTAAATCGGATATCAGAACGACGTTATAAGTATGCAGATTTGTTTAACTTTCTGCAAGAATCTAACATACAAGAAAAAGAACACGAAAATTACGGCATCTTTAATCAGACATCTAAATCGAGTTTTATAACTCAAATTATTAGTCTAATTGAAAGATTATATTTTAATGATGCTACAGAAGCTATTGAAAGTGAAAACATAGATAGCGAGGAAACAGATAACGTCAACATTGAAATATCTGATGACAGTACAAATTCACAATTGACTCTAAAAGAAAAACTTAAACAAAGGGTACTAGAAAGAACAAAACAAGTTACAAGTACAAAAATTAAGAATAAATCAAAAAACGAAATTAGAAAAATAATCAGAGCCGAAATGAATTATTATAATAAAGAAGGAATAAAGGGCAAATATTTAAGTTGTGTTTGTAATTATTTAAAAACTGTAAGACCAACTAGTGTGGAGGCAGAAAGAGCTTTCTCTGCCTCTGCATTGTTATTAACAAAAGTTCGTTCAAGTCTTTCTGCTGAAAACATTGATAATTTAACCTTTTTAAGGTCTTATTTTATAAAAAAAAAGAGTAATAATTTTTGTTTTCTGCTATCCTCCTATATTATAAATACCGTTAATGTTACATTCTACATCCTACACGGTTCTTCTTTGCGCAACTTTCTCACGATTAGTCGGTAAAACTCAAAGAGATCCCCAATGGAAATTTGTCCGTTACATATTTTATCGAGAAAAAAAAAATATATATATATATATATCTTAATGGAAATTTGGCCTTTACAAATAAAAATAAAACCATAAAACTCACTAAGATTATTTCAGACACATATAGAAATTTCCGATAAGATAAATTGTCCTTTGAGTTTCCGGCGATGATCACGTCCGCACCGATAAAATTTTATAGCGTCTACACTAAATACCACTACCAGGTATCTCGCCTTATTCCCGCCTATCCTTAAATTCGATTTCCTATTGGAAATCTATCTTTATTACTTTCCTCCACCCTAAGATTTCCTCAAGGATCCAAAATCTTAAGGAATACCTCCCTTCCAAAACCAAAAAATCTGAGTATAAAAGGAAGGGACCCAGCGAGAGTCAGCGCAGTTTTTAGTTAGAGAGTCAGCCAGTTAGTAGAGAGAGGCTTTTAGTATTACCCGAACAGTTTGAATATTGGGACTTAGAAACAATTCGCAACATTTTTAAGTGACTGTAAGAGTTTGTAACAAATAGATTCAGTAAAGTGTCTGTTAAAACTATTCGATCTTTTTTCTCGTGTACAACCTACACCCTACCTAACACCTCGTATAACTTCGTATAATGTAT